ATGTACCGACTCACACTAAATTCAAGTTAAGTCTGAATGTTTTCTTATTTTAATTGGTAAAAATACTAACGGATATAGCGACAAATCATTAGCAATACCGTTTTTCTCGATTTTTAGATTTAAGCCTCTACTATAATGCATTACGAAAAAGATGATTTTCGTAGTTAAAAAATTAAACTAAAAATCGTATAGTCTTACTCAAATCGAACCTAATGTCGTTATTTTTAGTTTTAAATCATTATATGTATAAGTTAATTTCAACTTTGTGTTGAGTTATCGTATACCTAATTCAATCATTAGTAGCACGTAGTACAGGTCGCAACATATTAGCTCAATTCACACAATTTTTACTATTTTAAAAAGGTTAATTTATTATCTTTGAATCCTCTCATTTACTAGTTTAATTATTAAAATTCTTTAAGAAAAAAAATGTATAAAAATTGGTGACATAATTCTTATAAAACGAAAGAAACATGAAAATGCGGTATCGATACCGCTAATAGGTTACCTAGTTTGTGAGACATATTGCATAGTCTGCTAAACGGATAAACCTAAAATAAGTATGCTTGTTAGAAAGCTCAATAAAAAATGAAGATAATCCTACTAAAAACAGAGCTAGTCTCAATGTGCGACTATTTTATGTAAATTTTTGAATACTCACCTTTTAAACTCAATATGAGATTAACAAAAACAAGTAAAAAGTTGAAACAAAAATTATACGGCGGTAACGGCCAATAACCGCTGCTAATAAGGAGGGCATATATGATTGGAATCATAATCGCATTCTATCGTTTTTAACCGGTTAACATAGCAATGCGAACGACTACATTTGAATTAGATTTTATTGTGCACGAAAGGTTTAAAGCCTGTGACGTCATATTTTATTTACTTGTGCAACTAGCTACTCTAAAGCATGCTAATATCAATTTAGAATTGCTTGGTGGTGCGTTGTTAACGAGGAAAATTGACATTTTCTACCACTGGGGCTAGAGTGATTTTAGTGATCGCTACATTGATCAGGTTACTCTACTATTGTTTTTTTTTAAATGTAAGCTAACATTAAGCAGTATTAAGAGAGAGAAAGACTAGTTATGCATAAGTAGAGGCCTACTACACCTATGCTGGTATCTATGCTACTGTGTATATTGTGATTAGACTTATTTAATATTTTTTCTTTTTGACTTAGTAAAGTAGCATAAGCATGTTGTGTTTTTTTGGCCTCAAATTCCTCGTTTTAGGTATGACTGTTCCTACTTTTGGTTGCCAGGGGTAGGCATGTCTAATATAACACAAGGGGAGATAACTAGCTAGAGGCGATTACCCTAATAGTCTGGTGAGCTGTATTTGACAAGAATGTTTACAATTGTAGAGCCGGTCAATCTAGTGAAGGCTATAAAGGGCAGATAATATGGTGTTTAAATGATTTGAAACAAAGGGGAGGTAGCAAGATTAAGAACTATCTGCTTAACCAGCTTGCTGTTGTCTGTAAATTGTGGTCATGGTCGGCTGCTTTTCACAGGGCATATAATCGTCTTTTAAAGCAAATATTTTTATTTGTGTCGACTTCATAAATTAGGAATCACTAAAAAGTAGAAAATAAAACAAATATAAAAAATCTTTATTGCAACAAGCTTTTAAATGTACTGAAATTAAAGGAAATAAGTTTATTTACTTTCTTTAATAAAAGCTTTGGTGGCTCATGAGATTTTGACATATTTTTTACATTTGTTTTAATATATATATAGAGATCAAAGACACAATAAATTTTAAAGACTGAGGTAATTTATTTTGTATTTTCACTCTTGATTCTGATTTACGTATTGAAAAAGGTCTGTGCCAGTTCACTTGAGTGCAGTCATGCCTACCGTCCCGCCAAAAGCGGAATTGGTCCGCATTTTTTTTTTACAAAAAATTATGTCTGGTTCTGCCATCCCGTTTTCGTCGAAGTTTGTCCCTTTTTAAAAAAAAAAATAATGAAAGAAAAGAAATAAATCGTATTGAAAAAAGGGCAAGGAAAGCGATTCTCTCCCTTTGGTATACATTTCCGTTTCCTAGTTTACTAACAATATTTACAAGTATCATCTAAAACTAGATCCAATAACAGATAATGTGGACAATCTAGCTACTAAATGTTGTTTTTAATATTTGCAATTGAATTGTAGATTTAAATTATGCCTTAAATAACATGTAGGGGCAAAAATACAATAAAATCATGACTAACACCCTAATTTCTAGATCTAGATAGTAGATCTACTAGATCTAGATACAGTATACTAATCTATCTTGTAAGTTCAACTACTATTAACAAGAACTAAGTAAGAACTCTTAACTTATATTTTATACGAGCAGACCCGTGGCGTATCATAAGCATTAAGTTGTTGTTTTTTCTACTTTTCAGTGATTCATAATTTGTGAATTCGACAGTACCAATGCTGACATAAATACTTTAAAACACTAAAACCCTCCTTTCCCCCAACCCCCCCCCCCCCACCCCCCTTAGTTACCTCCCCTAAGTTTAAAATCGTTTCAAACTAAATTATCTGCCCCTAATAGCTGTAACTAAACCCGTCTCTACGATTGTAAACATAAACATTTAGCGTGAACCACAGCTCACCAGACCATGGGCGGAGAGGGGGGTGGTAGCGATATGCCTAGAGAGGGGACTGCTAGGCGCGCTTACAGCTTGTTTTCTAGCGTCTCCAAGAAGAGAATTATATATATAGATTACATAAACAGTACACAGCCTTCAGCATTTGTTGTTCATATAGCCTAAAACATAGCAATGCAGGAATAATCACATGTATTGTTTTTTATTTGGAGGGGGGAGTCTCAGGTTAACAGTTTTTAAAATGTAAGCTGAAATTAAGCAGTATTTAAATGTAGCCTAGACTAGTTATATATAACTAGAAGCCTAGTAATGTTATTAGACTAATTTTTAATTATTTTTATTTTTATCTTAGTAAAGTAGCGTCCGCACGTATTTTCCTCTTTTTGGCTTCAAATTCCTCTTTTTAAGCATGACTGATCCTACTTTAGGCTGATAGGGGTAGGCATATCTGTAAGTGTCAAGATTATTTGGATTCTTTTAATCAATGGGTTATATTCAGGCCTCTAAGAGATGACAAATAATAAGCTACAAATTTTGTTATTAATTAACTCAATTGTTTATTCCACATCTTATGATTATTTATTATGATATATATGATGTTTTATCTAAAGCTTTTCTGACATAAGGGAAAGGAAGAAGAAACACACACACACATACCAAACTTCATTTTGACCTTTGAAATAACAAGTATTTTTTACAGAATTTTTAATTTTCTATTTTCTTCTCATAAGATAAAAACGACCAAGAATGCATTCTTTTAGTTTTCATATTATTTTCTTTACTTTAGAATTGTTATTTTTAGATGACTGAAAACAATTGGGCATTACAAACTTTTGAGAAACTTTACCAATTTCTACACTTCTATGTTATTTATTTTAGAAAACATTTGTTCTTTAAAATAGCACTTCTTAAAAATAATGTTTTTTACCAATTTTTTTTTTTTTAAATCCGAGACTTTTTTATTTATGGAAATATTTTTATAAAATTTGTGTCAAAGAGCTTAGAATAAAGTTATATCAGGAGAAACTGCTACAGATGTTTACAATCAAAAGTTGATTTCAGTTTGGAATACATACTATATATATATATATATATATATATATATATATATATATATATATATATATATATATATATATATATATATATATTGTTTGTTCTCATTTTTTTCACTTGCAATGTTTAATGCTTTTGACGATTATACTTTATGATTACAGAGAGTTGCTATATAATACAAAATATTTTCACCAATAGATATGAGATCGCTTAGGCTTAGCCAACCTGAAAGCACATTAGCTAATCACTCAGGTGGCATGTGTATGGAACCTAAGTAGTCATTGTCGATTTTCTTTGTTTCTATGTTCCCACCCAAGAAGTGGACAAAGGGAAATCTGAAAGCACATGAATAGCTCTAAATAATTGCTATTTTTTTTATTATGGTTGGTTTCATAACTTGCTTATTATTCATACGAGGGTCGTTCTAGAAAGAAGGAATATATCCACAAAAATGCGTTGCATACAAAAGGGACATGCTTCTGCCACCCGCAGCAAGGCGCGACGCTAATGTGTGTGTGTGTGGGCGTTGTGCGAGTGTGTGGTCGTCGATAAATGAAGTCACACTCGTAGGGGGGAGGGGGGTCGGTAATTTTGTGACGGTGTGTGATAAGGGGGAGGGGGTTCAGATGGTGCTAGAAAGAAGGAATATATCCACAAAAATGCATTGCATACAAAAGGGACGTGCTTCTGCCACCCGCAGCAAGGCGCGACGCTAATATGTGTGTGTGGGCGTTGTGCGTGTGTGGGGTCGTCGATAAATGAAGTCACACTCGTAGGGGGTAGGGGGGTCCGTAATTTTGTGACTGTGTGATAAGGGGGAGGGGGGGTTCAGATGGTGCGCCATCACACTTTTGCATTATAAAAAAGCAATGTTAGAAAACGAATTTTAGACGTAATAAATTGTAATAACAATTGATTAAAATACTCTATTTTGACAGAGTTCAGACAAGATTTTGGAAAAATATAGCTGTTTAAAAAAAATTCAACTGCAATTTTGAGGGGTGGGGGGGGGGGGGGGGTTGTAGACTGAGGTGTGACGTCATTTTAGGGGGGGTCTGGCTTTTTGTGACGACGTTTGACGGAGAGCAGGGGGAGGTAAAAATCGTCCAATAAAGCGTGACGTCATTTATGGATGACCCCTGTGTGTATATAAATATATAACTATATATGTACATATATAACTATATTTGTACATATATACCTATATATGTTCATATATAACTATATGTATAAATATGTATATACACATGATGAACATATACTAATATAAGTTTATATATATGCACACATGCTATTTTAAATTACAATTTCAAACCTGAAAATTAATTGTTTTCAGAGCTGTGCTGATTCTGTCATTCCATCCTATTTGCCGATTGTTAAAAAAAACAAAAGAAAACCATTCAAGTACCATGAAAGGTTAAGTATTGTCCTTTCTAACTTAGGATTTTAAAATATTACATTTTATAATGGTGATACCTCTTTAGAATTGTTCACTTTAAAAACTGTTTAAGTTAACATGCATTTTTGAATCATAAGTGCTATTAACAAGCTGTTATTCCCTTATTGATCTTCTGTCTTCTCTACCTGGGTCAAACCATGCAATCCTTTTTTTACCTATTTAAATCTTATAACGTGATGTGGCCGAGGAACTTTTCCCAGAAAATTCAAAACACCACAACCATTAATGTCTGATGAAGAGTTGGTGTGGAAATTGGCCCTCGCTGCAGTCATTTAAATTTTCTGAACCTAAAACAGTTTCTATACACCCACCCAAAGGTCTTGAAATCCAAACTTGTCATGTTTTTGGAACAAGTACAGGCCAACAACTTGATGCACTTTCAGCAGTGCTAGGTCTTCATGGCTGAAGCATGTCATGTTGCATGCAAGATCATCAAAGACCTCCAGCAGCAGTTTCAGTAGCGCTTTTCTGGCAAAGGCAAAAGGAGTGAGACTGTTTCAAAACCCATTTGAAGCAAATTATATATATATAGTTGCAAGCAAATGACATCATTGGAGACAAGTTCAAAGAAGGGCGGGTGGGTTTTTATAAGTCTTTGCCCAAGAAATACTTTCCTAATGTCAAAACTTTTGCAACAACACACCTGTGTGAACATTTTCAAGAATGAAATACGTGAAGAACAATTTGAGAACAAACTTGGACCTCAATTGTTGTCGGCCCCCGACAGTGTTTATTTCTGACTATTTTCTCTAATGGGGGGCACTTGAAATTTGTATATGTTTCTAAATAAATTATATTTGGGGGGGGGGGGGGGGGGGGGCTTCACCACCCCTTAAAAGATGCCTGGAAGAGACTCTGGGCCCCGAACTGATATTTGATAGTTAATGCAGCCCTTGCAAATCAATAATGTTATGTCAAAGCTATGGGTTTTATTGGGGGGGGGGGTCTCAGGTTACTGGTTAACTTTTTTAAAAAATGTAAGCCCTCATTAAGCAGTATTTAAATGTACCCTAGAGACTAGTTATATATAACTAGAAGCCTACTAATGTCATCAGACTTAATTTTTAATTAATTATTTTTATTTTTTACTTAGTAAAGTAGTGTCTGTGTGTATGTTCCTCTTTATGAGTTCAAATACCTCTTTTTTAGGCATCACTGTTCCTACTTTTGGCTGACAGGGGTAGGCATGTCTGAATAATCATTTAAACTCAGGGGTCATCCATTTATGTTGTCCACACCGTGGAGTGGGTCAGAAAAAAATTGACTTTTGTGGACACGTGTCAACTGGGAGGAGGGGGGGGGGGTCAATGTGGACGACCACATGTTGAATTTTACATCTAAATACTTACATTTAAAATTTTAAAAATGAAAAGAATATTTCCAAGTTTCTGTGGATGTCATACATGGATGACCCCTTACCCTAACTCTACCATAACAACTAAATAATCCAACTATAGCATATATCTAATAACCCTAACCCTTTTAATTATCTCTATTATGAAATCTTTCTGAAATTCTATTCATGATGACCTAAAGTATTGATAAAATCAATAATAATTAAATTAGTAAACAGCTTTATTGGGTTTTTAAAAAAAAAAAAGATGATAAAAAGCAAAACCCAATTTATAATTATTATTTTAAATTCTAAAATTCTTTATATTTTTGTATCACCTGGGTTTTAATTTCAGAAGGATAAATGATCACTGAATAGGTAAAAACAGACATTCTATATATATAATTCTTTTCTTGTAGACATTAGAAAACACTAAGCTGTAAGCGCGCCTAGCAGTCCCCTTTCTCCTCTCTAGGCATATCGCAACCACCCCCACATGGTCTGGTGAGCTGTGGTTCACGCTAAATGTTTACAATCGTAGAGCCGGGTTTAGTGATAGCTATTAGGGGCAGATAATTTAGTTTGAATCGATTTTAAACTTTGGGGAGGTAACTAAGAGGAGGCTGCTTTAGCGGGGGGGGGGGGGGGAGGGTTTTAGTGTTTTAAAGCAAATATTTTCAGTGACAGCATTGGTACTGTCCAATTCACAAATTATGAATTACTGAAAAGTAGAAAATAAAACTAAATAGCGGCGTGTCATACGCCGCTGGTCGGCTCGTACAATATTAAATTTCCACAGTGCACACTAGTGCTAAACGCTGCACATCATATTAAAATTGCATGGGAGCTCTATATAGCCTATACAACTCTTTGAAAAAATTGCATGACAAAACATTATAATAACAAGCTCTTAATGTAATAATGCACTAAAAAGGAGAAAAATAAATTTCCTTTAAATGTATAATAATACATTACAATTTAAATAACTATAAAGAAAAGCATGGGTCACTGTATTATCTATTGGTACCTTTACTAATATTTTGGAAGAGACCCAGTCTGATGCACCTGATTCAATTAAGTGAACCACTATAATGCCCTATTTTAACCATATTTTATCACACTCTTGAAAATAAACATAGGCACAATGGCACTCACAAGATAGCGCCAAATCGCCTCCTGCCAGGTCACTGCAGACTAACCTGTTTCAACTTAGTGAACGGCTATAATTATAATGCCCCATTTTATCCATAGTCTCTTGCACTGTTTAAAATTAACGTTGATGCCATAGCACTCACAGGTAGCCCAGGGCGTCAAATCGCAAATAGGTGAGAGTTTATTATATCACTCATACTCAGCTTAATAAAGGAAAATAGTTTAGTTGAATGGTTATTAAAATATTCTATTCGTTTTTTGTCCAGGCAGTGGCAACTGTTAAGGAGAGGAAGATATGTTGAGTTTAATCTTATCTATGACAGAGGCACCAAGTTTGGGCTCTATACCCCAGGGGCAAGATATGAAAGCATTCTTATGTCTTTACCCCTAAATGCTGTAAGTATTTCTTTTAGATCTAATTATTTTCAACATAATTTGTAGATCTACTAGTATTATCATTGTTTAACTTCTAAATTACAATTAGGCTTTAGGGGGTTATGCACCATTTTTTTTACAATTTAAGATATAAAGTCTTTTGAATACTATTACCATGTTTAACACATGAAAGTAAGTATTAAACAGCAAAAAAAAGGGTGTAAACAATTTTGGTTGTCATGGAAACCCAAAAAACCTCCGCCATTTTGAGTTTTTCTGTACTTTTAAAAATGCCAAGGTTTTTTTATTTATGTACTTACAGCAATCAAATTTAAACTGCTGATATTTCAGTATATATTAAAACTTTTGTCACGAAAACTTTTTGAAATAGCTACTAGTAAAAAAAATGTTCAAGGTCTAAAAAATCGTACAGTTTTTGATTTTCAAAAGTTTCAAAATTTGCATATTAATTACCAAATACTTTTTTCTATGAAAGCTATCACTATTCCCTTGTGACAAAAGTTGTTTTTTTGCATGAAGAACAAGTACTGAAAATATGGTGGGCATTGTTTAATAAATAAAAAAGTAGTAGGCTTTTTAGTGTTAAAAACCTGCGAACTGAGAAAAACAGCCAAAAGTAACAAAAAGTAGGTCATGAAAATAACATGTGTAAACTGCAAAGCCAATCGTAAGCTTTGGGTGTTTCCGAGATGATGGAAACTAAGATTATCAAATACATGACAAATCCAGCTTTCCAATGATGCCAAATACAATATGATGACGGATATAAATCTTTTCATAGAGAGCTTGTAATATTGGGAAAAATTGATTCTTTTTTAATTAATAGGGTCATAAAGATGGTATTTTGATGATGAACACATACAAAAAAAATTTCTCATAAAATTTATAACTTCTTTATTTTTTATTTTCATTCTAATTTTTTATCATCAAATCACAAGCTATTAATAAATGAAACATTTTTATTGTTGACTGAAACCAGGCAGCTTTTTGGAAATGTCTGAGTGCTCCTTTTGCATATTTAATTCAGTACCAAGCAGCTTTTTGAAAATAAATCGGTGTGCTTATTTTGGAAGTTTAGTTTAAATCATAGCAACATTTAAATTTTTTAGTGGATCCATCAATTTTTACATGATTAGCAATTTTATAGTTTTTTAAAATTTATGATTGGAATCACAATATTATTTGCTCATCATTTGTATTGAACAATAATAAAAAAAAGTTCAAGTTTTTATGATAACTCAGCTTAATCAAAAATTGTTATACAATATTACCCCAACCATCTAGTTTTTCGGCAACATTTTAAGGATTATATTTTAGCAACCCTACAGAATCAAAACTGTTGATCATTTTAAAATATTGTTTACCTGTGTATGCAGGTATTTGGTGTAGTGGTAGTAAAAATTACTAAAAAGGTGCATATTTTTAACATGTTCCATATACATACATATATGTATATACATAAATATACATAGCTTATATACACACACAAACATATATATATATGTAAACGTGTATATACATGTGTATATATACATATATATACATACTAGCGTATCCCTGCACGTTGCCTCAGGAATAATAGAAAGTCTGTAAAAAAAATATAAGAAGGGTTTCATCAATGCTTTACCAACCATATATTCTTAGACTCTTGACTGAGTTATTTAAATGTAAACAATGTCTGCGCTTGAATCATAAATATCGGGACACAAGTTTACCTACACTACCGCATGAAAACCTTGAGTGTACATTAATCACTCACAGAAATAATGAGGTAGAACACACTTCGGTGACCACCCATGTGTCAGTGACGTATTACACTACCGGCAGAGGGGTCCCGTACGGCCCCTGGCTCCTTAAAACTAACATAGGCACCATAGTGCTCACAGGATAACCCAGTGCGCCACATAGCATCCTGAAACAATGATGCAGTTTGCGTCATTCGCTAAAGTTACACAAATCAACACGTAGAAAAAAAATTATTTGACGTGTTATAAACAACAGTGTGACTGATGCAATTTGTTAGCATTACTAATGGGGTATTATTAGAAGCTCAATCTTAATTTTTTATCGAATCGTCTAAAAATAGATTCTAATTGCATCATTCGCAAAGTGACGAAATTGGATTTTTTTACGGATAAAAGGAAACAACCCAGTTAATAACCTAACCTTGGTTAATTTTTCTGATTATTAAAAAAATGTATTACTGGTCCCTCAGCGGCCCATGTGAGCCTTTGGGGCAGAAACTGATATTTTTGTTCGCAGCCAAATCGCACCGTACCAGCGGACAGGCCTGTTTCAATTTAGTGAGCGACTGTAGTGCACCATTATATCCATTGTCTATCACACTGTTAAGAACGAATGTAGTTGCCATAGAGCTCACAGGAAAGACCAGAGCGCCAAATCGCATCCTGCCGGTGGCCACCCGTGCGAAATCAAATCCCCCCCTTCCCCACCCCCCAGAAACCTTTTTAGGGAGTATTCATCAATTCCCTAAACTTTTATGGCCATCGTATGAACGGTGTCAAACCGCAATAGACTTTTATTTTTATATACCGTATATAGAGAAAAATCGCACCCTCCTGGGGCGCCGCCCTTGTGAAATTAAAAAAAAATGTATTTACAGGAATCTCACCTAGAGTGTTCTAATCTACTCCCCAAAGTTTGATGGCGATCAGGTGGACGGTGTCAAACCACAATCGACTTTTATTATTATGTACTGTATATAGAAAAAAATCACACCATACCGAGGCGCCATCCCATGCGAAATTAAAAAGGATGTTTTTTACAGAAACCTCACCTGGAGTGTTCTAATCAACTCCCCAAAGTTTCATGGCGATCGGATGAACTGTGTGAAACCGCAATATACTTTTATTTTAATATACCTTACGAGCTGACCCGCGACATAGCATACGCCGCTATCTAGTTGTTTTATTTTCTACTTATCAACAATTCATAAATTGTGAATTCGACACTACCCCCCCCCCCCCTGCCTCCCCCAGTCTGTGTATGCTATTATCAGACTTAAGGTATATGACCATTATATCATTTATAGTTTCAAAGATAAGGTATTGTAAAGTTGGCACCTCATTGGACAGAAAAAGGTAAAAAAAAAATGTCCGACTTCAAAATCACATAACATTCTTCCTAATTGTCCTACAGAAATAAATTTGGCATCCAAATCCTTAAAATAGTTAGTACTACACATTAAAACAAAAACCATTGCTGTATGATTGGTTTGTATTATCTGTTTGGAGTACCTATATATATACATACATACATACATATATATATATATATATATATGTGTGTGTGTGTGTGTGTGTATATATATAATGCAACACACAAACACAAAAGAACACTCAAAAATGTGCATTCACATTTTGCTAATTATATTACTGCAACAATAATTCACTCATGGAGGTCCGCAGAATTTGCATTCACATTTATTTTATTAGAGTGAGCTGAATTTATTTTAAAATTACCTCACTTGAAAAAGTACAAAACAGTTTAACTAATTATTTTTTTTTACCCTATTATACTTATTGGTTTTTTTTTTACCCTATTATTATTAAAATGTACCCACTTTTTCTAGGAATCTAGACAAAAAGGATATTTGATATTGATGCTTTTAACATGTTTTAGCAATGTGCGTGTATTTAATATTTTCTTTATGTTATGTGAAAGAGTAAAAAAAACAGTGGCAACTATAAAATAAATTTAAGTCTTTATATAAACAAACCCTACTCAATTACTTTTAATTCAACACTGCAATGCACTGAAAAGCACTGCATGTTGCAGTTTTCCAAAATCTATAGCAATCTGAAGGAAGGACTGACACTCTACACTACCAGCCCGCTCATATTACATATATTTATATACATACACATATATACACATTTATAAACACACAGGGCCTCTACCATATTATGTATATATATACTTACACATATACATTCATATATATATACTTACACATCTACATACATATATATACACACATGTATATATAATTATATACACTCATATATACACACATGTATATATACACATATAAATATACATATTGATGATCTCAGTTGAAACAGTCTAACTCCACAAATATAAATTTTACAGTAGAGATAAAAATACTGGTTATTTCATTCTCGATCGCTCTAATTAAAAATCATTTTATGTATATGTGCGAAGAAACTCTACCGATTATCCTGTAATGTTATAAAATGAGTTTTACAAAATTATAGCAGGTTTTAAAAGACAGCGAGTTTGCTTGGTCTAAAACTCTCACTGCCAAACTGTCTTTTTTGCGCGCACAGGCTAAACCATTTTGCACTGAGATTTTTGGTCTCAGCCATGTCCATTCGTTTTGTCCAAGGAATGTAATTTTGTTATGTTTATGATTTTAAGTTATCAGTTTTGTAGTTGCAGTGTCGGTCGCATTGAATTCTTGAAAGGCCAGACTGGTCTGTTAAGAGAAGCTGGTCTGTTGATAGAGGCTGGTCTGTTCTATAGTAAGACTAGTCCGATTGGTCAGTTGAGAGAGGCTGATCTCATGTATGGTATGACTGGTCACTTGAGAGAGATTTATCTCTTGTATGACAAGACTGGTCAGTTGAGAGAGGCTGATCAATTGTATGGTCTGATTAAACTGATCTTTATTTGTTTAGTTAAATGATATTTTTGTGAATACTGAAATAATATAATTGTGTTGCTTGACAGCTTGAGATTTTAAGCTTGAAGCAGCCTTCTCCCTCTGCTGTATGGTAGCATTTGTAAATACAATTTCAGATTATAGTATTTTGACATAGATTTTAGACAGCAAGGCTGTATCTACTGACCTGTCAAAGCCATTGTGGAATGAGGGGAGGGAATCAGAAAATGGAAAAGCTGTAATGGTGAAGCTTTACTAATAAAATTTTATTTTGTTTTTCCTTAAAAAATTCAGAGATGGGAGTATATGCACATACCTGAACCAGGATCAGAAGAAGCAAGACTCACAGAAGTCTTAAAAAATCCAAGGGATTGGATTTAATATAAAACAATTTTAAAGATGGTGATCACCTGACTCAGTAGGATCAAATATTAGATCTAGTTCATGTAGGCTAAATTTGTTGGATTTTTTTGTATATTATACAATAAATACACTGGTCACTAAAATATGTAATAAATCTCAAGAGCAACCAATGTTTTAATGAAAAGTTTTTTTATTTTTTGCAGTGCATTTAATAGCTTATTATGATAAAGGTTTTTTATATTTGTTTTATTAACTTTTGAAAATGTTAAAATATGCCTATAATTTCTGATACTATACCTACTACTAAAGACTTGTAAAAAAACCTTTGTAAATGGAGTTTTTAAAATTCAACATTGATAATGTTGATGACAAACTGTGTTCAATAAAATAAATCATGAGAGAATAAGCTTTTAGTTGACAGTACTTTTGCACCATTTATACTTAGAAATATTATGCCCACAGGTACATGGGACATTTTCAAGTTATTCTTCAGGCCTTATTATGTTGTATAATCAAAATTAATCTTTTAAAATATTTTCTATGCATTAAAAAATATCCTGTATAGTTATAGTTATACACATTTAAATATTTTTTTTTGTCTTGTTGGATCTTGTCAGTCATGGAATAAAATGTGATAATTATTTTGTAAGAATGAAGCATTTAAATGTTGTCCATTATAAAACAAAAATGTTTAGAACGAGACAAACATAAAACTTTTAAAATCTTAAGGACATTAATCTCATCTTGTTCTACAGTTACTGAACACTTATTCTGTTTTGGGCTGAAAATTTCTCATCTCAGACTGATAATTTAAATTAAAGTAGTTTGGTAATTTGGAACTCACTTTTTAAAAGAGTTTAATAAAACAAATTATTAATATAGGCCTACTGTTGTTTAATATTTAGATAAATTGATATCTATTTTTTTTAAACAATAAAACTTATATATTACAAGTATCTATTGAAATTATTGTTCCAGTGATCCTTAATCACTAATCACTGTTTGTTTTCAATTACTACCATTTGTGCATGATTGTTGATTTACTATATTTGAGATTCAAATAAACAGATTGTTACAAAAGTACATGATACAGCTAAAATGTGTTTTTTACATACTGATTTTTTTTATTATTTACATTTAAGTTCTGTTTCTTTTATATAAATTTACTTTAAAAAGGATGGTGTTCTCCAGAGAGGAAACTTTCCATTGTCTTTAAGGAAAACTTTCCACCTGCCATTTTGATAGTGCAGTTCTATTTTTTTAAGATCTTAAACATAACAATAACAATATGTTTCTCATTATTTCTTGACTTGAAATATAAAATTTCAACCTCCCATGGGGGTCGCGAAGGCCTTTCTGGGCGATCGCGAACTGGTAGACTACAACCTAGCAATGAAATAAACAATAAATATTTAGAAGAATATCTGAAATTCGGCTTTACTAACATCACAGGAAATGAAATAGAAAAAAAACAATGCATACTGCAAAAGTTGTTGTCAACCATGAGTTTATGAAACTTTCAAAACTTAAACGTCATTTTGATACGAGTCATTTGGAACACACCAGAAAGATATGGAGTTATTTCGTCGGCATGAAGCAAGTCTGAGACTTGATGGAACAGGAAGTTTTCACATAGGAAACAGCATTAGTGCAGTGGTTCCCAACCTTTTTCGAGTGGCGACCCCCTTTTATAAAAAGTGACCCGCGACCCCCATAGAATTAAAAAGCCGAGATTAGTATGGAAAGTAATAAACACTAAAATAAGATTTTCTAGTAGACTTTCAATTTGAACTACTCTTGATAACTGTTTTAAATTATAGCATGAGTAAAATTGCATACTATTCACTAAACCTTCGTGGTTAAGTTTTTAATTTTAAAAATGTTTTGTTAACGCCAACCTATGTCATTATAATTATCTTAATTTTGTTTTTAATCGAAGAATAGTGTTGAAAATATATTCTCAAAAAGTCAATCAATTTTACGTTTGGGTATGAATGGTGAATACTACACCAAAATTGTGTCTGCAGTTTTTCATCTTACTCGGAATCATTCTGCAAATCAAAGAATTCATCTTGTAATTCATCGGGAATGCTGGCAACATCAAGGGAAGATAATGGGTAATGCGTAAATGTAGATTCTTCTTTTTTTCAGCTCAGAGAAATAGCGATGCAGTTCGTTTTCAAGAGATTCAAGATGCCCAGAAATCGCTTCTTTCAAGTTTTTAATTATCTCACAATCAGATTCATCTACCACACCGCAGAGTTTCTCAAATTTACAATGTTTCCAAGATTTATTTTCTTTACAGATTTTGCAGCTTTGATAAAAATGCCCCGAGATTATCATGCCATCCCATGCGAAATTAAAAAGGATGTTTTTTACAGAAACCTCACCTGGAGTGTTCTAATCAACTCCCCAAAGTTTCATGGCGATCGGATGAACTGTGTGAAACCGCAATATACTTTTATTTTAATATACCTTACGAGCTGACCCGCGACATAGCATACGCCGCTATCTAGTTGTTTTATTTTCTACTTATCAACAATTCATAAATTGTGAATTCGACACTACCCCCCCCCCCCCTGCCTCCCCCAGTCTGTGTATGCTATTATCAGACTTAAGGTATATGACCATTATATCATTTATAGTTTCAAAGATAAGGTATTGTAAAGTTGGCACCTCATTGGACAGAAAAAGGTAAAAAAAAAATGTCCGACTTCAAAATCACATAACATTCTTCCTAATTGTCCTACAGAAATAAATTAGGCATCCAAATCCTTAAAATAGTTAGTACTACACATTAAAACAAAAACCATTGCTGTATGATTGGTTTGTATTATCTGTTTGGAGTACCTATATATATACATACATACATACATATATATATATATATATATATATATATATGTGTGTGTGTGTGTGTGTGTGTATATATATAATGCAACACACAAACACAAAAGAACACTCAAAAATGTGCATTCACATTTTGCTAATTATATTACTGCAACAATAATTCACTCATGGAGGTCCGCAGAATTTGCATTCACATTTATTTTATTAGAGTGAGCTGAATTTATTTTAAAATTACCTCACTTGAAAAAGTACAAAACAGTTTAACTAATTATTTTTTTTTACCCTATTATACTTATTGGTTTTTTTTTTACCCTATTATTATTAAAATGTACCCACTTTTTCTAGGAATCTAGACAAAAAGGATATTTGATATTGATGCTTTTAACATGTTTTAGCAATGTGCGTGTATTTAATATTTTCTTTATGTTATGTGAAAGAGTAAAAAAAACAGTGGCAACTATAAAATAAATTTAAGTCTTTATATAAACAAACCCTACTCAATTACTTTTAATTCAACACTGCAATGCACTGAAAAGCACTGCATGTTGCAGTTTTCCAAAATCTATAGCAATCTGAAGGAAGGACTGACACTCTACACTACCAGCCCGCTCATATTACATATATTTATATACATACACATATATACACATTTATAAACACACAGGGCCTCTACCATATTATGTATATATATACTTACACATATACATTCATATATATATACTTACACATCTACATACATATATATACACACATGTATATATAATTATATACACTCATATATACACACATGTATATATACACATATAAATATACATATTGATGATCTCAGTTGAAACAGTCTAACTCCACAAATATAAATTTTACAGTAGAGATAAAAATACTGGTTATTTCATTCTCGATCGCTCTAATTAAAAATCATTTTATGTATATGTGCGAAGAAACTCTACCGATTATCCTGTAATGTTATAAAATGAGTTTTACAAAATTATAGCAGGTTTTAAAAGACAGCGAGTTTGCTTGGTCTAAAACTCTCACTGCCAAACTGTCTTTTTTGCGCGCACAGGCTAAACCATTTTGCACTGAGATTTTTGGTCTCAGCCATGTCCATTCGTTTTGTCCAAGGAATGTAATTTTGTTATGTTTATGATTTTAAGTTATCAGTTTTGTAGTTGCAGTGTCGGTCGCATTGAATTCTTGAAAGGCCAGACTGGTCTGTTAAGAGAAGCTGGTCTGTTGATAGAGGCTGGTCTGTTCTATAGTAAGACTAGTCCGATTGGTCAGTTGAGAGAGGCTGATCTCATGTATGGTATGACTGGTCACTTGAGAGAGATTTATCTCTTGTATGACAAGACTGGTCAGTTGAGAGAGGCTGATCAATTGTATGGTCTGATTAAACTGATCTTTATTTGTTTAGTTAAATGATATTTTTGTGAATACTGAAATAATATAATTGTGTTGCTTGACAGCTTGAGATTTTAAGCTTGAAGCAGCCTTCTCCCTCTGCTGTATGGTAGCATTTGTAAATACAATTTCAGATTATAGTATTTTGACATAGATTTTAGACAGCAAGGCTGTATCTACTGACCTGTCAAAGCCATTGTGGAATGAGGGGAGGGAATCAGAAAATGGAAAAGCTGTAATGGTGAAGCTTTACTAATAAAATTTTATTTTGTTTTTCCTTAAAAAATTCAGAGATGGAAGTATATGCACATACCTGAACCAGGATCAGAAGAAGCAAGACTCACAGAAGTCTTAAAAAATCCAAGGGATTGGATTTAATATAAAACAATTTTAAAGATGGTGATCACCTGACTCAGTAGGATCAAATATTAGATCTAGTTCATGTAGGCTAAATTTGTTGGATTTTTTTGTATATTATACAATAAATACACTGGTCACTAAAATATGTAATAAATCTCAAGAGCAACCAATGTTTTAATGAAAAGTTTTTTTATTTTTTGCAGTGCATTTAATAGCTTATTATGATAAAGGTTTTTTATATTTGTTTTATTAACTTTTGAAAATGTTAAAATATGCCTATAATTTCTGATACTATACCTACTACTAAAGACTTGTAAAAAAACCTTTGTAAATGGAGTTTTTAAAATTCAACATTGATAATGTTGATGACAAACTGTGTTCAATAAAATAAATCATGAGAGAATAAGCTTTTAGTTGACAGTACTTTTGCACCATTTATACTTAGAAATATTATGCCCACAGGTACATGGGACATTTTCAAGTTATTCTTCAGGCCTTATTATGTTGTATAATCAAAATTAATCTTTTAAAATATTTTCTATGCATTAAAAAATATCCTGTATAGTTATAGTTATACACATTTAAATATTTTTTTTTGTCTTGTTGGATCTTGTCAGTCATGGAATAAAATGTGATAATTATTTTGTAAGAATGAAGCATTTAAATGTTGTCCATTATAAAACAAAAATGTTTAGAACGAGACAAACATAAAACTTTTAAAATCTTAAGGACATTAATCTCATCTTGTTCTACAGTTACTGAACACTTATTCTGTTTTGGGCTGAAAATTTCTCATCTCAGACTGATAATTTAAATTAAAGTAGTTTGGTAATTTGGAACTCACTTTTTAAAAGAGTTTAATAAAACAAATTATTAATATAGGCCTACTGTTGTTTAATATTTAGATAAATTGATATCTATTTTTTTTAAACAATAAAACTTATATATTACAAGTATCTATTGAAATTATTGTTCCAGTGATCCTTAATCACTAATCACTGTTTGTTTTCAATTACTACCATTTGTGCATGATTGTTGATTTACTATATTTGAGATTCAAATAAACAGATTGTTACAAAAGTACATGATACAGCTAAAATGTGTTTTTTACATACTGATTTTTTTTATTATTTACATTTAAGTTCTGTTTCTTTTATATAAATTTACTTTAAAAAGGATGGTGTTCTCCAGAGAGGAAACTTTCCATTGTCTTTAAGGAAAACTTTCCACCTGCCATTTTGATAGTGCAGTTCTATTTTTTTAAGATCTTAAACATAACAATAACAATATGTTTCTCATTATTTCTTGACTTGAAATATAAAATTTCAACCTCCCATGGGGGTCGCGAAGGCCTTTCTGGGCGATCGCGAACTGGTAGACTACAACCTAGCAATGAAATAAACAATAAATATTTAGAAGAATATCTGAAATTCGGCTTTACTAACATCACAGGAAATGAAATAGAAAAAAAACAATGCATACTGCAAA